TTGATCGAAAACGTAAAATTATTACCTACGTAAAATTATTACCTACGTAAAATTTAACGGTTGACGATCGTCACTGCGAATTAATCCCATAAAGTCTTTTATGTTATGTTCCTACTGTCATATTCGCGAATTTCTCTCTCTCTCTCTCTCTCTCTCTCTCTCTCTCTCTCTCTCTCTCTCTCTCTCTCTCTCTCTCTCTCTCTCTCTCACACGAAACTTATTTTCGCAAATGATCTTTTTCTCGTTTTTACGTAGCTTTATTTCTATTTATTTCTCATTGAATCATTCTAATATATTATTATTAAACACGAAATAAAATATAGGAGGCAAAACTCATTGATAAATATGTAAATGTAAAATGCTTAAAAAAATACATCAAATAATGCAAGTATTGTAATATTTGTCGTGATTTCATATTTTTCATACTTCTTTTTAATATAGAATATAATTAGTCGCATTTTTGTTATTGTATAGATACTATATTAAATCTATATTAATGATGTCAAGAAATGCGATGAGCTATAAAGCTGATATAAAAGTACTTGCCAAGGAACAGCTGCGTGTAACAGCTTGAATTGGCCTTGGAATTATTGCTTTGACTTTTCTAAGAAAACGAATTAAAATTGTTTATTTTTACCTTTACTTTTATTTCATTATACTATTTTTCTGTTTCTTTTACACTTGCAACGTTTTGCAATATTTATAATAATATTTAGTATAATATCTAATAATATTTATTAGAAAATTTTCAACAAATGTCATATATCAAAAATTTTCGCAAAAAACAATCAAAATATGAGACTTTTTTATTGTATGACAAATCTATTCACTTGCGACCGAGCTTGCGATACATTTCGACCAGCGAGAAAATTGTTAGCCGGTAAAGGTCCAGTAAAGACAGTTAAAATATGCACACATTTAATTATAACGCGTAATATATTCCGCTGAGCTTCCTTTTCTACGACCTTTGACATTGATATGTTGAGCAACGGAAGATAAAATGGTAGTCGGGAATCTTTTCCCAGGTCCAGCAAGAGGAATACGAAGATATATAAATGAAATGAAATCTGTTAGCAGAGAGAAATTTCTAACGTCATGACACGCCTTTTACTGTGTATTGTTGTATTTTTAAAGAGAAATGTTTTTTCTTTCTTGAAATAGGCAATATTCTTTCATATTTTGATAGCTAAAAATGAAGAGACTCTCATTGATTATATTATATTGTTCTGAAATATAAGATTTCTCCGAATTTTCGAGACTTGCGAAATAATTTCGATAATTTGCATTCAAATAAAATGCTAAATATACACAGATATAATTAAACATATAGCATAGAGCGTAGGAAATCTATTAAAATTTTTAATATTTTATTACAATATTAAAAATGCGTTATATAAATATTTCATTATAATATTATTTATCTTTTCATATTTTTCAATTTTATAAAATATTCTGATTTATTATTTTTTAATATTCCGAAATTTAATCAGAGATAGTGATCCGCAAAAAATTAATGACGATGAAATTTTAAATGTGAAATCGACCTCGATTTTCATATTTTTCAAAATCAAAAAAAGATCGCGAACAGACTGACCTAAATTGAAAAATTACGTTTTTTATAGCCTATTTTAATCTTGCTTGTAATCTAATCAATTGTATGAAATTTAAAATGGAATAAAATTTTATATCGACACACATATAACAGAAGATTTAACTTTTTGTGGATCGCAATTTTAGATTAATAAGTGAGTGTTTTATTTTTTATCAAAATTTGATGAAAATTTGTCCATTAAAAATGTCATAACACCCACGCAAAAGTTTTTACACCTTTATAAAAATATGTGAAAAATAGAATATATAATTTCAGTAAGTTCAAAATTTAAGAGCAAGTTTTACATTTATTCCCGTGATAAATGGAATCTATATATTTTTCCATGCTAATATAATATCAAAATTTACAATGAAATTAAATTGAAATGAAATTAAAATTAAATTGATTGATATTATTTTAGTTTTCAATCTCTGCTATCGAAAGATATTGAATGAATTTAGAAAAAACGAAGCGTGAATCATCTTGATTCCGATTTAAAGTACTTTAGTGGGCCTTGTCGATTGAGTTTTAACGTTATACATTGCGCACTTAAACTTATTAAATTTGTCCTCTCGCACATTCCCGAAAATATGGAACTTTGGTGGACGCGAAAATCGCATGGAAAAAGTCGAGTGTTTGTCCCGAATAAAAAGAGTCCAGAAATTTCAAGTCGTTCTCCACTATGGCATAAAGTTGCACCGCGTGGATATTCGAGTTCCTGATTTTCCCCGGAGAACGGGTAAGAACTTCTTGGCCTTTTCCGAACTTTATGGAATCTCTTTGAGCAGGCCGATTCGGATTTCGAAATTCCCGACGAAGATAATAATAAGTTAATCCCCCGCCTCTCTTCCACGATGGTCCAAAGTTATCCAACCGTGGCGATATTGCGCGACTCCGCGACTTCCGCTTCCCCCTCCCCCGTCCCCTCTCTCTCTTTCTTCTGTCTCCTCGACAAATCGACCGTCTAATTCCATTATTCGATGCCGATAAACTCGATCTAACCGTGAAATAAGTTACCACGCCATTTGACGATTTACGAATAGATAAAACTATACGAAAACATGTTGACAAAAGGAAAAAATGAATAAATTTAAGAGAGTGTCAAGTGCCTATGTTAATCTTAGTTAACTGATACATTAACACAGTTGCAATTATAAAGATGCTAATGAATCTGTGAGAAAAATCGCTTTTAAAAAGATGTTTCATGACACTAATCTATTCAGTTTATTTTTAAAGGTAATAAAGTCAAATCAAAGATTGCAACTTGTTACTCGATTTTGGAATTAGAAACTTTGAGTCTACAAAATTGACTCAATATATTTTTTCTATTCATTGTTATTTATTTATCATTGAACATTTTGAAAATTAAATTATATTTTATCGCATCTGTCTTTCTTTTAAAAAATTTTAAACTTATATATTGTAATATATACATCTCTCGCTCATTTAGCAGCATAATATTTTTCTGTCGCAAAAACTTCCTTCTCTCTAATAAAGTTAATTATGAGAAATGTCCATACACAGAACGTGCAGAGGCTTTATTTTATCAAAGTGATTTCCATCGTTCATGAACTCCCGCTCTAAACGACGTATACTACATAACAATTATTGGTTTACCGAGAATATCTTTCGGAGCCTTCTGTACCACTTGCGGATTAATTCTCCTCTTTCACATTCGAAAATTACATTGCGATCATGCGACTACGTTTAATTTCATTAGTGTGCTACCTACAAATTCTCTCTACCTCTCCCTCTTTCTTTCTCTCTTTCTTCGTATAATTCCCCAGTTGCTTAATGACGGAGCTTTCAGCACGAGCAATCAACCCAGTAATTGAAATACAACTTAGGAACAGCTTTAGGGTAACGTAAACGCAATATCACATGGAGTCTTGTAATTCGTGAAATCTTGTAACACGCGGTAATAACTGTAGGAAGAAGGAGAGAAAGAGAAAGAGAGCTTTTGCGACTGACGGGAAGGTAATATGGGGCGGAAAATTTTCGATGGTTAAAATCACACCCACACCCTTTCGTTCGTAATAACGAGTGCCGGTCGGGGAGCACCGAAAACTCATCGTGGCTAATAACGAACCGAATTCCCAGTTTGCCAACCGAGCTTATTGAACCATTATCGTGGCACGCGTCAACGGCTCCGCGCTCTCTTTCCCTCTTCTCGCATTGGCAAATCGACTATTTAATTCCGTTACCGACGCGTCGATAAATTCGCTGTAATGCGAACCGCCCGCGACGGTTAATTCCGGGACCGTCGTGCACCGAGCGACGATTGACGAAATGAAAAACGGTTAAGTCGATTGATGAACGTGCGTGCACAGATTTGTGAACACGATAATTAAAGTCCGGATTTTGTTACGACTGACAATCAAATCCGGCCAAATACGATGATTCGTATATATGCGCAATTGAATAATCGAATGGGATGCGCCATCCTTTCGACTTCTCTCTTTATCATTTCAAATGTAATTTTTAATCCCTTTAAGTTTTTAAATTCTTTTTTTTCCCGTAACATTATTGATAAGATAAGTCGAAATGGAAGTGGAAATACGGAAAGAAAGAAAGAGAAAAGAGAGATGGTTGTTATTTTAGCTTACTACAATATATATTATCAATTAAATTTATCTTAGATTTTATTATGTTATCGAATGACTATAGTGGCGAACAAATTTAGCATAAAATACTACCAAGATTTTTGTTAAAATAAACGAATTTTTTAATCTACACGCGGAAATCGATTCGTATATATGCGCAAATGAATAATCGAATGGGATATGTCATCCTTTCGACTTCTCTCATTTCAAATGTAATAATTTTTAATCCCTTTAAGTTTTTAAATTCTTTTTCTCTTGTAACATTATTGATAAGATAAGTCGAAATGAAAGTCGAAATACTACGGAGAATGAGAAAGAGAAAAGAGAGATGGTTATTTTAGCTTACCACAATTATATTATCAATTGAATTTATCTTAGATTTTATTATGTTATCAAATGACTATAGTGGCGGACTAATTTAGTATAAAATACTACGACGATTTTTGTTAAAATAGACGGACTTCTTAATTTACAGGCGGAGATCGATTCGTATGTATGCGCAATTGAATAATCGAATGGGATATACCATCCTTCCGACTTCTCTCTCTATCATTTCAAATGTAATAATTTTTAATCCCTTTAAGTTTTTAAATTCCTTTTCCCCTGTAACATTATTGATAGGATAAGTCGAAATGAAAGTCGAAATACGGAGAGAAAGAAAGAGAAAAAAGGGATTACTACAATATATATTATGAATTGAATTTATCTTAGATTTTATTATATCGAATGACTATAGTAGCGGGCAAATTTAGCATAAAATACTACGACGATTTTTTGTTTAAACAGACAAACTTTTTGATTTACAGGCGGAGATCGAAAGTCGTGATATCCTCCGCGAAGCCTGAGGATAGTGGCAGATACGAATGCGTGGCTGAGAGTACTTCCGGTCATCGGGCTTCACTCGCAGCTCAACTTCTAGTCGCTCATGATACCAGAATTGCGGAAACAAGTGAGTAGACTATCAATATTTTTCTTGCTCGCTCAATAAAAATTTTTCCGATAGAATAAAGAGGTCTCGCTTATATTATTCATGAATATTAACATTTTTTATCTCTTTCTCCCTTTCTAGATAATTAAACTTAACTAATTAATTTTTAAATATAATTTCTATTATAAAATATAACGCATTCAAAGATATCGATATTCAGGTTAGTCGCAAATGCATCACGATTGGGATTGTTTGTTATAGAATTAAAATAATAAAATAGAATGATAATAAAACAAAATATCGAGAATCGCTGAAAAAATAACAGGTTTCATCGATTCTATTGATCTAGAAACAATACGTTTTCGAAATTGATCGGCAAAGATTGCTAACCGTTGAATGCTGGCTTTTGTGAGGGGATTGGGACGTATACACACCTGTCGATATCTTATGCAAAGCATTCAGATAAAAGCCTTTCGGATTTTCATCTGACGTTATCGTAGTCTCGCTTGATATGCAAAAACGCAAGATTCATATCTATATGTCCTGAATCGTTCTATATAAACTAAAAAAAATATATGATCTTTTTCAAAGCTATGTTTGAGAAAGTATTTGGAGTACTGCTATTGGTCGCAAATTGACTCAAATATTCATAATAAAGGGGATGAACCAATAGTGCACTGCTTCTTCCGAATGAAACAATTATTCGACGATACCGAAAAATAAAATCTTGTCGTGCTTATTCGTCCCGTGATAACGATATTTCAATATTAATAATATATGACACGAAAATTCCATTGAATAAAGTATCGACTCGGTGTTTTTATATTCAAAGAATGTGGAAAGAAGTCTAGCGGGGGAGGGGGTTTCCTTTATATATCTTTCAACATATACTCGCGTCAAATTATTTCTAACTCTTTTCCTCTTTTTACCCATCGAGAGCAACGAAACGAAATTCAAACGCAAGCTCTTCCAATTTTCAGAACATTAAAATATAACATGTGATGCAAATATCGCGTAGTTTATTCGAAGCGAATTGCTCATAATGTAAAAAATTGCACGATGAAAATCGATTATTCGAGCAGACTGCAAAGAAATTATTTTATATTTTTGCTTTTTCTTTTTTTTTTTATGTTCCGAGTTTTACCTACAGTTTGCATCAAAAGTTAAGAAGAAAACAAAAACGAAACTTATAATTAAGAAAGCAAAACAATTTTTAACTGGTCAGCTTTCATTGGAAAAAAAGAACGAGGGCACGAATTTTAAATTAAAATTGGTAAAATTAAAATTTTATTCATTAAAAATAATAGAATCTTTCATAATAATGTCTATATTAAAAATAATAGAATTTTTCATAATAATTTCTACATTATAATGCACACATAAATAGTGTCTTGAAAGAAATTTTCAATTTTAATATAATAACTTGCCCTCTCTTTTTTATACAAAAGCCGCCAAACTTAGCGTATTTAATTCTAGCGAAAACATCATCCTACGAAACGGGGCAGGCGAACATTCTGTTCGTAGCCGACATATGCATAAAACCGACGCCTCTCTTCGCAATTTCATGGCAACGATTGCTCGCTTTATCTCGTAAGGCAACGGTATTCAAAACGTTTCTCGTAATCGTTGCGGAAACGACGAGTTTCAACCCCATTTCTCGCGCGCGCGCGCGAAACAAGCGATGTCCGTTTACGGAGTAGTATACGAGCGATCGCTTCGTTGACGTTGCGTCTTTTATGACCACCCTATCTCTCGCGTAACGATGCAGTATACCGGGTATATTTCGCGATATGTATAGCACGGGCGTCTGCGGCGGACGGACGATCCGCAGTCGCTGCTGCGACGAGAATATCGATCCTGTACACGGCGGCTGCCCTTAGGGCAGTGGTTTATGGCTTTTCATAATGCTCGCAATATTTGGGCGGCACCTTTTGCCGCGATATTTATGTTATTCCACGGCGCTCGCGACGCACTTTAGCCAAGTTTATCGATACCTCTCTTTATTTTCCGCATCTTGCCGCCGACTAAAATAATAAGTGTTACCTATGGGAGAAATGCTGCGAGAGAAAGTTGAAATTTATTACGTGTAACTTGAGTATTTACGAGCCATTTTATCGCTTAGCTAATACCGGGTAGACCAAAAAGCAGCCAGCTAGTTTGCGACTTCCGTCAAAAACTACAAAACCGGATAAAATTTTGACTCAAATAGAATTACATCTTTGGAAGAAAAAAGAAACCAATTTTCTATAACAATCACGAGGATGTGAAGGAAGCTAATAATTTCGCGACACTCTGCATATGGCATAAACGGCGAAAAAATAAATGGCGTTAAGGCATAAAACGGAATCGCTACGCTTTGTTGTCAACATTTCCTTGGAGTTTCATTCGATTCCCGGTATACGATACGTCAGCAATAAATTCGCGACGGGGGAGACCTCCTTCTCTTCGCGCACACGCAAGTCGGCGGGAATCGGCATTGCAGGTGATAAACCAAGGATTAAGCACCTGATGTGATAATGCCAGCACGGCTCAGTGGTTCTAGCAGGGTCGGTAAAGCTTGCGGTTCACCGCCGAGCGGTTCCGCAAGCTCGTATGACGGACAAAGGGCGACAATTACAACCCCGCCCGCCACGTCAGGGTTTCATATAACTCTGCTGATGGCAGCCCGCCGGCAGAATCGTTTCCGTGCACGATGATTCTATACGGTGACTGTACCTAACTGCTACAGGTCGACAGATGGCCATAAATGAAATTCCTCGTAATGAAATTTTTTGACGGTTTTCTAAAGACCCGACGCTCTCTTGTACTCGAGAATAACGTGTTTAATGAATCTCGAGGCAAGAGACAATTTAAAAAAAAAAGAGAGATCTTTTTAATTAATTGAAAACATTTTCGCCGAAAGAAATATATTTTTTGCAAAAAAATTTTGCTATTAATAATTCGCGTAATTCGTTAATTTTATTATCTGTAGATACAAATGTTATATTAAAGAATTCGTTAACCTTTAAAGGGATGCAAATCCCAAGGCAAAAAGTGCGTTTTTATGACACGATGTTAATATATAGGTTTAATGAAATTTTTAATTCCCCCATTTTTTGTACTTATTTCCTGTTATTCTCATAAAAGTTCCGTGCAGCTTGCGTGAGGGAAGTTATTAAATCGCGTGAGAGATGTTATTTACAAATTAATCCTTTTGCGACCAAGTAAAAAATTATACGTTAACGAGTGACGTAGCGGGAAATAAACCACGATGCTTTTGTTTAGAAAAGTATTAAAAAGTAAAGGTATAACGTGGTAATGGCAGTATACAGTTTATAAACTTTTTTTGCCACACGTAAAAGTTAATCGTTTTAATCTACACTTTATCTGACGCAAAAATAAATTCTGTCCATTTTTTTTGCAATCTTATAAAATTTAATGCGTCGAAATACGAGAATTATTTCTATGCTATAATTATTATCGTGTAAATAACTTGATGTGAAAAACGCCGAAAAATATATGTGAAAAATCCTTTCGACGTATTATTTTAGAATAATTATTTTCTCACATTGATAATATATATAAATACTTTTCAGTAATACACGCAAGGATTTATCGTTACATATTCAATTTACACACTACATTTAAATTATATATGAAATAATTAATTATGATAATAATCAGACTCACCAATCGTTGTACAATTGCTGTTTCCTTCGCGCCATCGGATAGATCATTGCTTCGTTCACGAATCTGCATCCGATGCTTGAATAATTGTTGCTTGATCGATGATTCACACGTCACTGTATCAGAGTCAATTATCAACACTCGCGTTTCAAATACACAGAGAAAAATATATACTGTATTCAAGTAAATATTATTTATCTTAAGTATATCGTAAGTTTGTATATCCGCAAATATATCATAAGTTTACCACAAGCATTAAATTTAATTGAATATATTCTGAATTTTAGTAAGTGCGGTATTTTAGAATCAAGAATATTAAATTAAAACAAAAATTTGTTTGCTACAAGAGTTGACGTAAAGTAAATTTGATTTTTCTTTGATACAACTTTACAATATTCTTGAAGAAGAAATAAATTCTTCTTTCGAGTACATGATAATGAGATTTTCTAACACTTGTGATAAGTATATTTTACGATTATTATCAAGAATATATTCTTTGTTGAAAAAAGTTACTTGAAAAAAGAAAAATAAACTGAGCAATCGCTTTTCTGGGCAGTAGAATGATATTTTTCTCTGTGTACGACGAAATTCCTACGCGTAATGACGGCCGAAAACGCGTGACTTTAACGATATTCACGTCGACGACCTAACCACTTGTCAAGGCGTCGTTAACCGCGATTCACGCACGTATTAAGCATGGATAATTATCACTCACGAGGGACTCGATCTCAATAATCGCAATTCTCGCCCGATATTTCCACTCGACGCTCGAAATTACTAGTTAATTCACGCGCTTGACAAGGTCGTCTGTCACGGCACGCACGATTGTGTCTGTGTGACGTCGCTCGCGCCCCTCTTCCCCCACCACTTCTCCAGTAAGACTACCGCGGAACGCGTGGCCTTGGAGGGAGGTATGCGGCTTTCTTCGCCTCGAGGCAATAGATAAACACATTCCTGCGTTTTTTCAATCGGCAGTGAGTGGGGATACCGAGCGTTCGCGTAGTATTCCTCTCTCCGCTAACACGACAGTAATTAATGATTATCGAGCCGTAATAGTCGCGTCACGAGTATTAAGTGTATCAAGTGCCTCGATGATTCGGAAATCATTGGCAGTGCGTCGCGAAAATGAGACTAGAAATCTAACCTGATAGTTTAAAATCGGAAAGTCGGCGAATTTTACGCGTTAGAAGTGAAATACGTGTATGTGAAAAAGTCGATACGTTTCAAAAGTGTTAAATATTAAATCGCATATCGTGTAAATTTGTGCGCATTACCATAATCAAGCGTGATCTACCCGTATGTACGAGTGAATCTTCTTTGTGGAATTTTGAAGCGAATACGGATTGGCATCTCCA